TTTTCCAGCCATTTTTTTTCTGCTCGTTTCCATTTCTGTTGAATTGTCCTTCACTCATAGCTTTATGCATAGTTTTTGTCACTGCATGTACTATAATCCAGTCCTCGGAATTCATTTTTGACACCTAGCCTATAACTGATATCATGTCAAAAATATTAATTCCTAACAAAAATGTAGAAAATAAATCTTTAGAGTGTTAGCAAAATTCACTTGTTATAATAGGTGACATAAAACTGGAGTATTAAAAACACTAGCTCATATGTAAGCCTGTAACTGGAAATTAAGAAAAGTGTTTCCTTTAGACTTGAGGAAATCTGTGTCCTAGAGAAGTTTAGCTAGTTCAGATCTGACTTTCTCTTGAAGCATTTTGAATAGCTGATTGATTGCTATTACAGGTTTGGGTGTCTTTGAGTTGAACTTGCTCAGGCCTACTCTCTGAACAGAACATCCCAGTTAGCATTAAACTACTTGTTCTTTGCAGACCTGCAAGTTAATAAGAACCCACTCAAGAATGAAGGCAAACTGAAAGAATGCAGAAGCCCAAGCATGGATTCCATTATGTAAAGCCCAAGTTTTCAGTTTCCAAGCTACTATATTCTCAGGGGAAGGAGATTCCGCCATATGTATAAGAAGTAGCAAAATCATGGGGAAAAAAGCAGATATTGGAAGCCTTTGTATAGTGTAAATAACTAATGAAAGCCAAAGCTCTCTATCTTTGAGTAAGTAGATGTTTGCCTAGATGCTGATAGCTTGTTAGGATAGTTACCAGGACTGAAAAGCTCACGTTCTAAGTCTTTCTCAGTTCAGTTTTTTTTCCTAGTGGAAGAAGCAAAAGGCGCTTGGTATTATTGACTTGATTTCCAATTTCTGTTGAACAGAACATGATTTTTAGAGGTGTAGCAAAGACCTTGTGAAAATATTTATTGTAAACAGTAATCTTCTTAATTATATTATCTTTTGAAAACTGGTTAACCTGATTTACAGTGTGAAGATTATCAGAAATCCTCTGGCTTTCTTGGAGTTATTGGCTTTTATATATATAATTTATTTTTTTTTCTCTTTCGTACTTTGAATTTTAATTTGTGGTTTGATCTGTTCAAAGGCAATCCATCAGATGCTTACTCTCATGGGTTTTACTCCCTTTTTTCAGTTTGTAAGTAGTATTCACTGTGCAGTTCTATTCATTTCTTAAGGACTTAAATCACCTTTTCCTCTACCACAAAACATACATGTTTTGTCCATCAACCGTGGAAGTTTGATAGTGTGTAAAGCAAGGCTGATGCTCTTTGCCCATTCAGTCACCCCAAGGGCTGTAATCTTACGAGACCTGAATGCACTCAACTAACGCTTGCATTTAATAATTAAAGAGGCAGTATTCATTCCTAGCAGACTGCAAATAAAGATAAATTAGGCAGGTCTTGTATAACACAATGGCCAGATGCCAACCTGTTGTCTTTTACGTCACTGCCATTCCTAACAAGTACGTTGGCCCAGAATGCAACATTGCAACTGCTGTCATGAGTCATAATAAACTACTACTTTCTCTTGTGGTACAAATTTTGCTAAGAAAACACTTTAAAATAATGAAATTATGAAAACAAGCTAAAGAAGAAAGAATGAAGAATTTAGATCAATAAAAATAACTGCTGCTTTAACCAGGATGTGAAATAACTTCCCTCTTCTCTATCTGGTTCCATTATCAAGCTGTATGTTTAGCCTTGAATAATAAATTATGGGGGTTTTCCATCGATTACATTACTTTTTCATAGATTTTTGTGAGGTAGTACAGGAGACCAGCTTGGTGGAGGAGACAAAAGTAAGAAGATACATAAAAGAGCATGTTTGACGGTGACTAAGCATGGAAAACCATTTTCAAAGAAGAGAGAGAGAAAGCTCTTTGAATGGTACTGTCCATACCTGCCTAGGAATAGGTCCAGGCATAACTTTGTACCAAAAGATAATTTAGCTTCGTAATTTGTGATTGTGAAAGGTGTCTCAGGCACTTAGTGAATTTCATAGGAAAATTTGTTAATTTTGGCTAAACCTGCCAATCTATCTTATGAAATGCATTGCTTCAGTGACGTTTTAGTCCTGCAGAAGGTACTGCCTCTTTGTATCGTGTGACTGCTGGTTTTAGCACAGAGTTCTTTGTATGGCACACCACTAATATTCTTACTGCCAGCTTTGTGTGCATGTGAAATTGAAAGTTGTGGGGTTTTCCTATTTTCTCCTGCATGAGCATTGCTATTAAAGCATTATTTTCTTCATGTAAATGTTGAAACATTGAAAACGTGATGAGTGTAAAACTGTTGAGTAATGTTCTCTTTTATGGTATAAAACGAAATCCTGTTATATAGTGTTTTTGTCAGTTGATATGAACATAGTTCATGAAGGAAGACAGTCCCCTCTTGTTTTCAGAAGGAAAATTTGATGAACATAGCAAAGTGATTTTGTTTTTCTCCAACCCTGCATGCCAACTAAGTGGTAATATAGTCCTTGTCTCAGTTCATATCCATGAGGCTACACTGTGAAGAATTTATGGGGAAATAACCAAGACAAGATCTGAGGAAGTCATAATGCTTGTTTACATAGGGTGGCTTACACATAGTATTTAAAAGATAGGTTTCATGTAATTTCTGCTGTAGTATTTATCTTCAGAAAAGCCTGAAGAGGATAAATTGAACACTCTTTTTTTTTTTTTCACAGAAGTTGAACTGTAGGTGTTACTTGGAAAAGAAAGGTTTCTCTGTTGTGACTTAACTTCTTGGTTACATTGTGTTTGTACAAGACTATTGGTAGTTGTTTTTTTATTTAAGATGGAATTGAAACTTTGACAATAACAATGGTTATTGCAGATACTATGTTAGCAGGGTGAGTAAGAACTCTAAAGTCTGGACAAATGTCATTGTAGGAAACTTGAGTAAGAGGTTATACCTTTTTGGTTTAGAAACATTTTGTTATCATTAAGATGTGGCCTACTTTGCAGTGTGCAATGTGATTGTGATTCCAGATGTTAGTTAAGTGGTTTGTGCTTGACCTTTTTAGTGTAAACAAATGGAAGTGAGTTGCCAGTATCCATTTTGGTGTCTACTTTTCCAGACCTCATGCTTTTATATTTCAAAATAAATTCTTAATAGTGCCTATGGTATTTTGAGAGCATTTTTTTTCTTGATTCTGAAGTGTTACTGTGTAACAGGAGGTCTAGAAGTTGTCTGGGAAGAGCAAGGATATTTCTGTGAGTGAAAGATATGCTGAAATTTTAAACTAGGAATTACTGCAGCTTACATTAAATAATAGAAAATATAAGCCCTTTTTAATACTAAATTAAATACTTGCTTTTTGGAAGGAAGGTATTAGATTATATCCTTTGTCAGTGAGCAGCACTTTCTCTTTACAAATTATTCTGGAGAGATGAGGAGGCCGTTTCACTAGTATTCCCTGGATGGCTAACAAGTGACAGGCTGCAGTGATGTGCATTTACAGAAAGGGATGTAAAGAAAGAAAAGGATTACTGGTGACTGGTGCTTATTTATGCTACCTTTGCTGGTATTTTTTTTGGAATGCACTCCACATGCTGCTTCTTTAGACTTTACTTTTCTATTTCTTCAGAAGTGAAATGTTAAAGGTAAGCCACACAAAACTTCAATGAATGTTTAGCTCTGCAGGCTGGAGTTTGGGTTGTTTCATCAGCCAGTCAAGGAAAGCAAACTCCACAGCCTGATACTGTTTCGGATCTTCAGGGCAATTCATTGTTCATGTCATATGAAGTGCAAACTATGTCCTGTGCTGCTTTTCCTTTGTTTCTGTGAGTTAAAGGAAACATGATGCACACTTTCAGACAAACTTCCTCTTCCCACTCATCTGTGTGCTATTAATTTCTTCAGCTTTTCTGGTTTGATGAATTTGTTTGAATATATGTTCTGTATGGCAAATCCCTTCTTGGTAAAATTCTTAGAAAACCTGTGATGGTGAGAGCAAATGTTTCATTTATTTCTTAGCTGGTAGTCATGAGGATGAGCTTGTGGGGCACAGTTCAACCTGTACAGGATTAAATACTTTCTTTTAAGGTACCTGGCATTGACCATTATAGATATGCTGATGGAGCTTAGAAGACTTCTCAGCTGATCCAGTATGGAATATTTAATTTCCATTATTTATTAATCAGGCCTAATCAGTGTGAGATTTTGTCATTTGTAATTATAAACCAACTAGAGATACACTGAAGCTTAGATGACTGGAAGTAGTGCAGCTATAAATATTTGGTCTTCATTTAAAAAAAAAAATAAAATAAAATGACTGAGTATGCTGTCAGTAATTGGCTAGCCAAAGTACAGTTGCCATTGGATATTTTCTAGACATAGAAGCTTTTTTATTTCCAGTACTTTGAAAAGTATAGTATTTGCTGATGAGATTCTAATCTCACTTGTAAATGCCTCACTTTACATAATGTGCTTTGGGAATGTCCTTTATGCAAAGGATGCTTTTGCCATAAGGTATTTTATCTCAGTTGTCTTCATTAGCTAAGGTTTACATCCAGGGCAGTTTAATTGTGTATTTGTGATGGGGTATGTTGTGATCATCTTGTATATTTTTGTACTATTATTAGTCTTAAAATAGTTTAATGGAAAGACAAAACAATTACTAACATCAAAGTGCATGCAGCAACCTGGAGATTACAATGTACAATACCATCATAAACCTTTTACTGGATCATACATTGCCAGAAAAAATTTGACTGGTTTAGTAGAGAGTATTCCTACCCAAAAATGTGTCATGTATAATTGCCAACGTTCAGTGTCATTATGTAGTCTTTCAGACCAGTATAAAAGCTTTCATAACAAGGAAAATTAACCTAACATTTTAAAAAAGACTTCTTCAAAACGGTATATGTAAATTAAATCTTGAGGAGTTTGGGGCGAAACCTTTTATGAAAATGTTTTATGCAACATATATGGCCTTCAATCTTTCTATGATGGTAATTACTTTTATTACTTCTACAGGTTCAGTCCATGCCACATCAATAGCAGCTTCTAGAGTGGAGCAAGCACTGTCTGAAGTTGCTTCATCTTTGCAAAGCAGTGCCCCTAAACAAGGTCCCCTGCATCCTTGGATGACTCTGGCTCAAATATGGCTTCATGCAGGTGCTGTGAAAGTAAAACTTTCTGTTCTTTCCCCTCCCCTTTCCTGCTAGCCTAAGGACTTGCAATAATCTGTTGGTTAAATTCAGAATTTAATACCACTTACCAGATCAAACTTTTTCCATTGGTGTGTGTGACACTGTTCCAGAAATTGTAGTTGCTCATGTGTGAGATCATTTATGTAAGATAAAAGCCAGAAGTTTTATAATGCAGCTAGTAATAGTGGAGTCATGTAGAACAAAGGCAAAACTCTCTCCCTTATCCAAGAAGAATTTAATTTCTGAAGTACCTTGAGGATCTTAGTATTTCAGAATTTAGATGCCCTAATTCCATGGCTTGGAAAAAATATGTTTGTAAAATTATTCAGTAACATTCCTGCAACTAGAAAAGCCTTATCGTTGAAAATAACTCTGCATATTTGGCAAATGTAGGGTAGTGGTGCTGTTGAGCAACCCTGTCCCTTGCAGCTGTGATAATGAGCTCTCATTCAGTTCTCTTCATTCTAGCTTTATTAAAAGACCCAGGATTGTTTGTGTAAATGTGGAGTCACCCTGACTGGAGTTAGTATTGTTATGCAGCATCAAGCCTCAAGCTAAATGCAGTACCGCAAGTGGCTAGTACATACAATTTTAACCAGAAAATGATGATCCAGCACATTTTTACACAGTTAAAATCTATGCTGTGCAATGGTTTTTATTGATACTTCCATCAGAAAAGTGTGATTTAGAAATTGTTCAGCAATTGTTCTGCTTTGATCTGCTCTCAGACTTGAGCATTTTTCAGTAACAATTATTTTCTCCATTATTACATTCAACAAAAAGGTGCTGTATTTCTTAGCATTTTAATGTACCTATTTTGCATTAACAGTTTTATTGTGTGAAAGTCATTACAGTGCAATAGCTCCTAGTTATTAATAAGTGTTTTAGAGAAGAAGCCCATAAGATTGGAAAGAAAGAAAGTGCAATGATAGTGATTAGTAATAGTCATCTCATTTGGGGATTATAAGGGATCCTCAAAAAGCAACACAGCTTTGAACAAGGCAAGGTCCACTCAGGTATAGTGTGTTCACCTACCCTGCATTGTGGCATCATTGATTTTAAATATTTATAAACCATCAAAAAGGGCCATCTACAGTAACTCTTAGCATCTGTAATGCTGATAGTTTCCCTGCCTTCTGTGACAGCTTATTTCATTGCTCATTTTCTGATGTTTTGTTTGTTTTTGTTTGGCTTTTTGTGTTTTGTTGGGTTTTTTTTGTTTTGTTTTGTTTTTTTAAATTTGTGTTCATTGTGTCCTGTTGCTGCTTAACTGGTCCATACAAGTGACTGCTGCTGGTTTGCCCGCAAAGAAGGGGCCTGGATACTCTGACACTTTCTAATTCCTTTGTAGTCCACATTTTAGTCACTTTTGCATACACATTGGTGGTCTGCTTTCTTAAAAATAGCTGTCTCAGCAAGTGTGGTCTGTAGGCCATATTCTTGATTCCCAGCAGGAGGAAGCATGGGTGGGAAGTAGGAGAGAGTTGGGTTGGAGAATGAACTAAACTGTTTAAGATGCAGAGAAAGAACACAACAAAGTATGAGGAGTTCTCTGACACTTTTTGTATGGGGAGCAATGAAAGAAAAAAATGAGATGAAATAAAGCTTCTATCTGCCTTTGGAGGAGGTACTGCAACTTGAAGTCTTCTTCTTCTCCACTTGGGAATGATCCTGTTCTTGATACTTACACTGCTGATTTGTGCTGCATTTCAGAGTTCTTAGGTATCACACTTTTCAGCTACTTGTCCTGCTACAGTAAATGCCCTGAGCCTTGAGAAAGGCTCTTTGCTGTAGGAACATTCAGAGTAAAGTTTTCTCTCAGAAGCGCAATACAAAGCAGATATTATGGAAGGTATCTTCCTCAGTATATATAGGTTACTTGCATAGAAAACAGCGATAAAATTGCTTAACGCCTTACTTACAGCACATGTTCTTTAAATAAAAATGAAGATTTACCATTGGGAAATTGCTTCCTTTTTGAGATTCAGGCTACATGTAACTGTTTGGCTCCCTGTATGGCTGTGCAGTGTTTTACTTCTCAGTGGCAGGAGGAAAGGATCTTTAACAAGCTTTAAATCTCAAAATAAAAAAAAATTGAGAAATGTTCTTTCCATTAGATTACAGACACATGGAAAACTTATGTAAATTAGTTATATTTTGCTAAGTTTTGCATGTATTATATTTATCCAAACTAATATAGATGATGTAAGAAAGAGAAATTGCTTGTTCTTATGGATGTACAGTATCATTCCAGTTGTCATTAGAGTAAATGAGCATTCAGTCCAAGGAAATTGATTTTGCATATAGTAATGGGCTTTTAATTTTTCTTTTTTTTTTTTTTTTAATTAATGGACTGTTTCAGCCTTTCATTTCTGGGCATACAGTGTAAGGGTAGAAAATCAGGTTTAATATAAATGTGAAACAAAATTACTTTACCGATTAGTACATTCTCCAGTAACTCTCTCTTAAAAACCAGACCTGTCTCTAAATGATCAATGGCTGTGATAGTCCTTTGAGAAATGCATCAAGACTGGATTCAATATTGCTAGGCAGCTTGATTGGAAAATATATTGATTTTTCAATGAAATGCAAGTGTAAGTGTTGGAAGCATTTGAGCCAGAAGGCATTCTTGATGTTCTCTAGGCAGGGGGCATTGAGAAGAGCACGTTAGACTTGGCACCTGGTTTCTCTTCAAACTGCTGCTTCTCTCTGAAGTTTTCCTACGAAGTCTGCTGGCACCTGTCAGCTTTCCACAACTGATTTGAGTTTGCTGTGTTGGTGGATAACATTTTTTTATTCAGTTTGAAGTCGTTATCTCAGAACGAGTGCATCTCCTTAAGCTGCAGAAGTTTCTTGAATGAACTGTCGTGCTTAACACCTAGCCACAAGTTCAACTTTCTACTCAGTGTTTCATAGCTTTTCAAAAAACCTGCTGTATATTATGCTGAGGTGGTTATCACTTCTGGTAGAGAAAGTAAGTTATTTTTTAAAATAACTATAATAACTTAAAGGAATTATTTTGTTTAATACTTTCAGGAAGGTCTGTTAATGAGTGTCAGGTTCTTCTGCTGCAGTTAGTAGGCAGGAGAGCAAGATTTATTATCTCTTATGGTGACATAAAACTAATTTATAAGCAGTATTGTAGCCTCTGTTGTCTAGCTTTAAAAGTCATTGCTACCATACTTGTTTCCTCTAAGGAATACAGAATTTCAACCCCAGCCTGTTAAAATATCCAGTCTCTGCTTATTTTTCAGTCTAGAATAATTGTGGTAGCAGGTAATCACCTACTTCAGTCATTTTAAGTTTCTGCATATTATTTGCTAATAATTATAGCTTTTACTTAGTACCTTTGCAGTTTCTGTAAATAATATTTCTCCTATATTTCACCTGTGAGTGTGTATCTAAAACAATATTTCAAGTCTGTTAATGCTGGAGAAGAGACAATAAAACCAGGAAAGCTCAAATTATTAGCATTCAAATACTGTAGTGCATTTTTTACTCACTAAAATCTTGTTTCTCATATAGTAACACTGACCATGTAGAGCTTTTCCAAAAGCTTTCAGTAATGAAGTACTCAAAGGTTTTCCAAAATATTTTAGGGTTTGCTTTTTCTTTAAAAAATCCTTTCAGTACAGTTCACGTTTTATGCTGTATGTCCAGCTCTCAAATTATGGCTACAACTTGCTCTTTGGGTTCTACCAACAGTTAGTAAAAGTAAAATGCTAGAAACATTTATTTTCAAAAGAAGTTTTTTTTCTCTAGAGTCTGTACCAAGGTAAAGGAAATCAATAACCAAACTAAAAGAAATCAATAACCCAACCTAGAACCTTTAATAGATTTTTGTTGTGTTGAGTGTCTCTTTGTTCCTCTCTTCTCCCACTCTTTTAGCAAGAGATGAAGATAATCCAGCAGGATAGTGAAACAGCAGTGTTGAAGAGTGTCATAAGAGCTATTGAAGGCAAATACTTCTTCTGTTGTTAGTCAGTTACAGAATGAACCTTTTTTCCCCTGTAGTCAGTCTGATTTTAGCATATGCCAGGCTACTCAGCTGCTTTCAGTTTTCTGAACAAATTTTGTCAAATCAGAATACTGATTAAACGTTTCACATTTTCTGCTAACTCCGCTAGGAAACTTTTTGTATCAAATAACATTATATTTCTCTTAAAACACTCTGAAGTAGGAAAATTAGAACCAGGCGTACATTTTAGTGATTGTTAGCTGGAGCAATTGCTACTGCTTCCTTAGTGACTGACATGTAAAATTCAGAAAACTCCATAATTGTGTTCTCTTACTTAACTGTAAGGATCTCTAAGTGCTGTATTGTGTTGGATCTCATGTTCTGAAATAGTACTGTAATACTGGCATGCTTACATCTTAAAAATAAAACTGAAATTAAAAAAAAAACCAGACTTCAGCTAAAAATAACATACTATGCAGAGTTTTCTGGTGTTTAAAGCAACCATTCAGAGGTTCAAACTCCTGTTGCATTTAGAAAAGCAACTTCCCTAAAACAATAATAAATTTTAAATAGCTTATGTAATAATTTCTTTTAAGATGCAAAAGTTTTTGAGGAAAATAGACTTTGCTTACAATGAAACTATTTACAGGTAGAGCATGTGTGACAACATCTAGTCATGGTATGATGAAGCAAGTATCATTCATTGGTCATCATGTTCCTTCCACAGCTGAGGTCTACATAGGAATTGGGAAGCCTGCTGAGGCCACGGCATGCACCCAGGAAGCAGCTAATCTCTTCCCGATGTCACACTATGTTCTCTACATGAGAGGTCAGGTGGCTGAACTTCGTGGCAATATCGATGAAGCCAAACGATGGTATGAAGAGGCCTTATCTATTAGTCCTACCCATGTGAAAAGCATGCAGAGGCTGGTAAGTCTTGAGTCCACATTCATAAGTAGTTTTTACTCAATATATATTATGAAGTTTTAACTTGGTGTGGGAAAAGTATAGTTTTTGGGATGTGTTTGGGATTTATATTCTTATTAGCAAAATAGCCTTGGAAACAAGTCTCTTCTGGCTTTGTATTCTCTCTTCTGTGTGTGTGTTGGGATGTAAAAAAGATCTGCATGCAACAAGACTATTTCAGTCCTAAAAGAGACTGCAGGAAAAAAAAGTCATTTGCATGTGCCCAATAGTCAGTGCATTTGGGAAATAAAGGTGGCTCATGGTAAGAGAAGAATTCGATACTGTAGTCTAGGGGAAAGACCAGTCATTCTGCTTTCTAATTCCAAGCTAGAAGTTAAATCCTATGTGTAGATTGATTATCTTCATGCTGTGTTATTTCTTGAATGCTTTGAAAGGTATAGAATCAGTATTACCCTCAAAGTCATGTGTGGCTTTAAGTACAAAGGTGCCTTTTCCCAGCATAAATGCATGTTTGTTTATATACCTCATATATACATATATGCATATATATTCTGTGCTTACTATGTTAGGAAAATTACTTTCTTCCACATGGAGCAGAGTAGAACAGCAGCCACCAGCTTCTTACCCAGTCTTTTTGTTCAGCAGTAGAAGCTGGTTTCTATCTAGGTGCTTATAAATTATTCAGAGAAATTTCTCATGCATCCCTGAGGGGAACACATGAGACAAAAGATCAGATAGGAAGGCAGCACAGAGAAAGTTTTTTGTTTCACCTTTTTAGCATTTCAAGATATTTGAGCCTACTGACAAATGCCAAAAGGTTTCTTTTTCTGAAGAATGGGGCAGTTGACCTAAAGCAGTGCAACTCAATGAAGCTGAAAGCTTATGTCTTTCTAGGTATCTTTTTGCCCCTCCCCTGAATCCACTTTTGAATAAATAGCCTGTAAACGCACAATGCTCTTTAGAATGACTGAGAAATTAGCTTTCTTAAAAGACATGTAAGATTAAAAATACTGTGCTTCCAATTCAGGTTCCCTTTTTATGAGCTTTTCAGTTTGAGCGCAGGCTGGAGGGAAACTATTCATTTCATTGGCCAGTCCTTTCTAAGCATTCTTAGAATTAAAAATTTGGCTTTTAAAAGCTTTCTCCTAGTACTCTAGATCTTTTCTGTACTAACATGTTCTTTCAAATAGATGCTGAGAGATTTATGTTGATTAAATAGAAATATTAAAGACATATGCTATAAAAATACTTGTCTATGTAATTCTGTGTGGGGAAAAATTACAAGATGCTGTATCCTTGATATTTTGACTGTTGCAAAAAGTATTTTGAGGAGGAAGTTTGCAGTGTTAATTCTTGCCTGTGTGTACAGATGAATATCTGTACATTTCAACACTGTGTGTGTTTACCTATTTTTTATAGAAATACAACCTCGGTGAGAGGGGAGCTATAGCAACAGCACTGTGGAGGTACCAGCCTCTATATCAACAGCTGAAACATTAACTTTTTAATATTTGTATTGAGAATTCTAAGCTGACAATGAGTTTATGAACCAAAGGTCTGGGAAAAAAAACACCTTATTTGATATTTTAAAACTATTTGATACGGCTTTCTATCAATGCTTAGAAAGCAATATAAAATGCTACTATTTCAGTGTAACAGTTGCCTTAGAGCTTAGATTTATTTAATAAGCTTTGGTGAAATTCTTTGGGGGGGGGGGCAGATACCAAATATCATAGAATCACAGAATCATAGGGATTG